ACAAAAGTACGAATGAACTCACCTTCAGTCATGTTGGCGTGCTCGAATGGACAGCCCAAGCCTCAGTGTCCAGCCCTCTCGATGCAGAGCCCTTCCCGATGCACAGCCCAATCTCCAGCACGACAAAAAACTTAGGAACAACAATCTCTTTCTCTGCTTGTGCATGTGTGTGCGTGCATGTGTGTCACACAGAGAGAGAGGATGGTGCATTTGTGTGGTTGTGAGTGTGCCTGTGTGTGTGTGTGGGTGTGTATGTAGAACACATAGAGTCAAGCTTAGAGTAGTGTAGAGTAGCAGAGTCCAGTCGACACTGTCTTGGAGTAGCTTAGAGTGTCTACTCCGTGTCTTCCGTGTCTTCGAGTAGCTTAGTGTCTAGTCCGAGGCCAGTCGACAACGTCTACTCGGGCGTCAAGTCCAAACGAACGAACGTAGAGCGTCAGTGTAGAGCAATTCAGCGTCCAGTCGACCTACTGGGGCAGTGCGAGATTACCCAAAAAGTTTGTTGCTATATGTTGCATGCGTGCACTGCCCCGGTACCGCGCGCACTACCTGCGCTTGCCAGGTAAGGTATGCAGGCCGGCATTGGCAGGCCCGGTACCGCGTGTGGTACCGGCGCTGGCGCGGTGCCGTGCAGCAAAACACCTTCCAAGCTAAAATGATCAGCAGATGATTGGGACCGCCGCGCAGCAAAAAATTGGAGGGCGCCTTCCAAGGGTCACAGGCCCTCGAATCAGCAATTGTTATAATGTAGTGATATCCTTCCCCCAATTTCACAAATGCACGCAGTGTCTGCCTTGATGGTGTGGTTTTGGTCTGTGCTGATGTGGCTATGATGTGCAGATGAGAGCAGCAAGCCCAGTCACTGTGCATCTCAAACCAACCTGCGTGGACACACAGACATAACACACCTTGGTTGCAAGATAGCATCTTGATCATAGAGGAAAAAATGCAAACAAGAGAAAAAAAAACAAAAAAACTCTACCTTGCCAAGATCGAGCACACCTTGACAATGTCCAAAAGGACCAAAAAAGGTTGTTTTTCAGCCGCTCCCAAAAGAACTGAGCCTGAGTTGCACAAGGCTCTCGTGCTCAGTTCTCCAGGGACTGCTGAAAGATGACCTCTTGGACAACCCCACCAGCCACTGCATTAGAGTGGCACTCCCATCCCTCGTGTAGTGGTCACTGAGGGGATGCAAATCACCGCTGTGTTCATTCTCAGTGCCGTGATTGCTGGTGTGGTCGCCCCAATTTGATGATCCCCGTCCCTGGGCTGGTGGACACCAAATCCCATAACCCTGTAATCTCCAGATTTCATATTCCTTTCTGGCAAGTTTCTGCCATGCAGCCCACGGCAATGATAGCAGATCTCCAAAAGAAAAGAAAAGAAAAAAAAAGAAAAGAAAAGAGGGAAAAAAATTGACACGGTCAGTAACCGTCTGTTCGTGTGCTCAGGTCATCAAGGGAAGTGAGTTCCGCTTAGCCCCCACAAAGTGCCTTGTGATTACCCGCCGAGGATTACCGCCACATAGTTGCAATCCAACTACATATCTTGATTCCAGTGGCACCGTTATGGGTGCTCTGAATCGCCACTGACCAGGAACCAAACGCCACCAAACTCCACCCTCACCAGACCCCACCAAACCCCTCGGATGACAATTTGAACAACCTTCACACGGTGCATGTAGCTTGCTGCTTTCTCCAACTGTCCAAGGATGACCCAAAAAGGAAACAAGTTGAAACTTGAAACTGGGTTTAGGTGTGCAGGAGAATAGTAATTTGAAATTTGAGCGAACTGGTCTTTTGCTACCAATTAAATCGTGACAGATTAATATATGAAAAAACTGCGCCGGTGACTGCTGCACAGTTCAGAATTCGCAGAAATAGCAGTCCTCTGCGAGCTTGGGCCAAGACCAGTTCGAAACTGCAAGAAAAACAGTAAACTATGTGCGAGCTTGGGCCAAGACCAGTTCGAAACTGCAAGAAAAACAGTAAACTATGTGTTCGACGGCCTACCGGTTCAATAATGGGCAAAAGCGGGAGGTGGCGGTAGTGGTACCACTCTTTTTTCCGTGGCGTGGCCTGGCCTGGGAGCAGGTACTGGTAGCAGGCCCTCCCGTTTTTTGCTTCTGGCGGGACTCGGTTCGGGCGGGTAGCAGTGGAGGCCTCCATTTTTTAAATTGCGCGGCAACAGTTGTTCTTTCAGGGGCCGTGCTCAAAGCCATGCGTGCACACACGCACACACACACACACACACACAGAGAGAGAGAGAGAGAGAGAGAGAGAGAGAGAGAGAGAGAGAGAGAGAGAGCGTTTTCCAGCCATGCTTGCAGAGAGATAGAGAGTGGCTACTTCCATCAATAGGATGAGCAAAATCGGAATGAATCTTGGACTAGAACATGGAAACATACACTGCATTCCAGCCATGCGTGCAGAGAGATATAGAGAGGCTACTTCGATCGATAGGATGAACAAAATCGGAAT